TTTCCCATGCACTCATGTACAGACCACACATTTGGTGGAAATAATACTGGTGATCAAACAGCAACACTGTTGTTTAAGTGCCTTCTTATCCTACTATGCACATAATTATTTTTCAACCAGTTAGTAACTTTGCTGGCTTTTTCAGCCAAATGTGGCTTTAATTTATTAAAAGCCCCTGGAATGTCATCTGCTGGAAGGAATGCCAATGCAAGCAAATGACACATTTTAAAACTGAAGCTTGTGTCATTACTGTATTGTGTGGCCAATCCACTCATCAGAATTTTTTGCCAAATGCATCGGGCTGAATGGAACAAATAAACTTTATTGGTAACCCCTTGAAATTTACTTTTAGGAGGCTTGATTGTACCTAATTCCAAATCTGTCATTATGGTTTGGGGATTCAGTTGAATCCATTTTCCTCTGCAAAGTTCACCAAGTTTTCAAATAAGTGTATATAAAGTGCTTTACTTTTTCCAGTCATTAATACATACATGAGTGGATAAGTTCTAGAATTTTCCAATCCAATACGGGCATGAATTGTATATAGTTGATTTAAAAACAGTGGGGAGAGTTTTGAAAATGCCATCCATTAGCCAAAGTGAAGCATGTGCTGGTTTTTGTATATTAGATTTAGTGGTAAATATAAAGTTTGTTTTCTTCAATAGTCAAATCTCTAATCAAGAATAATTCACCATTTAATGTGTTTTGTAACACTGGAGGAACCTCAATATCAGCAACTGTCTTTGGTGTAGGTCGCTGAGCTCCTTGAATTCTTTTTATTTTCTGATGAAGGGTTTTCTTTGAAGACAAGCAGGGTGCCACGTGTCAAAAGGCAGAAATCGTACATGATTGAATAATCTGTCAGGGGAGATTTTTTTGTATTTTTTGCCTGCATTTTTACTTCTGTGATCTTTGAAACACTCACTGCACTTGTATTTGGAGAGCTATGATGTACAAATTTTCTAAGTGTATGCTGTCCACTTGAAAGTCTGGTTATTGCTTGGCCATTGCAATTAAGCAGTTTTCTGCTTTCGTAGCACCAATAATGATTAGCTTTTAAACTTTTATCTTTCACCATTAAGTAGCTTCATACGCTTAACTTATCGCAGCCTTTTTGTGAGGGAATAGTTTCACAGATCTCTTTCATTATGTTGTAAGGAATATAGTAAGAAGGAATGAAATTCAGCTTCCCCAATACCAAATCTGTATTAGGGTTCTCCAGAGAGACAGAAGCAATAGCGGGAGTGTGTGTGTGTGCGCACATGCATGTATATGAGGGGGAGGGGGACTTTATATCCCCTCCATATATACACGTGAGAAGTCCCACAAGCTAGAGACCTTGGAATCCTATTATCATGGCCCAGTCCAGAGTCCAAAGGCCAGTAGGCCTGGAGTTCTGATGTCCAAGGCAACAGAAGAGAAGTCTGCCCTAGCTTTCAGAGAAAGACCAATTCACCTTTAGTATTTGTTCTCTCTGGGTCCCCAACCAATTAGATGGTGTCTGCCAACATTGTGGGCAGATCATCCCCACATAATCCACTCAGATTCACACACCTCTGGAAACAACCTCACAGACACATTCACAATAATGCTTTGCCAGGTTTCTAGATATGCCTTAATCCAGTCAAGTTGACACCTAAAATTAAGTCCATAAATCCACCCCTTGTCAATTTGGCACCCATACACCTCTCCTTAAACCATACTTTGTTTCCAAGTAAACACAGTAACAAGGTAATAGTTCTACCCCATGTGATGCAACTATCCTGTGATTGTGATTTGGGGGATTTTAGACTTTAGGATTTTGATCTTTCAGGATTTTACCATTCAAAATTATGGCATTTGGGATTGTGTCCTTCAGGATGATGATCCAAACCCCTTCCATTTACATGTCCTTGGCCAGAACTGTGTCATAGGGCCGCCCCTGTTTCAGGGGAAGCTGAGAAATAAGCTTTAGTGAGCACATTACTGCCCCAGCAAGTTGGGACTCTCTGTAAGGACTAAGAATGGACATTGGGTAGGCAAAATAGCAGTCTCTGCTACACTAATTAAATAGCTATGTTAAGAAGTTTGGAAAAGGCTGTTCGTTTCTCCATCAGCAGGAAGGGCGTGTTGAGGTTGGCATACCCATCAAGGACAGTAACTACCATGGCTTCCAGCGCTTTGCCGAAACCTCAGACCTGTGGCCTCCTGGCCAGGAGTCTGCAGATTCATATTGTTGGAGCATTCATCATATCCCTGGGGGTTGCAGCTTTGTATAAGTTTGGTGTGGCTGAACCAAGAAAGAAGGCATATGCAGATTTCTACAGAAATTATGATTCTATGAAAGATTTTGTGGAGATGAGGAAGGCTGGCATCTTTCAGAGTGCAAAGTGATTTGGGAACATAAAAGAATTTCTTTGGGTTGATTTACATAGAAGTTTGTCACTGACCTGTGTTCCTGAGCTATGAATATGTAGGCTGAGGAATAGTTTCTCTTGATAAATAAACCATTAACAAATACAAAAAAAAAAAAAGTTTAGAACAAACACACACCCACACAAACCAATCTTTCTCTTTTAACTGCATTTCTACTTTAACTAAAGTTGTATGAAAGAAATATAACTAAGTCCCTAAATTGCTAGAGTATGAGGGAAGCATAGGATCACGTAGTCCTGTCATTTAGGCTTAGACATAATTAGTGAGTTATCTGAGGCCCCAGACAGCAGTTCCAGGCCTGAAATTTGAAGTTCCCGACTCCCTGATTGGTCACTGTTCTTTCCATTTTCTGTGCTGCTTCATGAAATCTGATTGCTCATATGTTAACTCTTCTACATACACAAGGCAGCTGTTTTGGTTACACCATCAGAGAGAAAACCCTCTAACCCTTTGAATGATTACAATAAAAGTGATGGGAGGAAATTTCATGTTTCTTATTTGAGAGTTTTATGTGTTCACTTGGTTAGTGTTGATGGCACTGGTGGTATTTATATATTCATTCATTCTTTATTCATTTATTCTGCAATGACTATATACCAGACAATAGATTATAACATCTCAAGAGCAGGACCACGTCTTATTAATTTCTGTGTCCCCAAGTAGGTCCTCATGGATGAGTGAATAATTAACTCATAGTCCCGCCCTCAGAGAATCCCCAGTCAGGTCCAGGAGACAGACAAGAAAATCAATGATAATAGTACAGCAAAGGCATATTTCTCAAGAGGTGACAGAGGCATGGGTAAAGGGAACCTAAATAAATCTCTGAGACAGGAAGAGAGTCTGGAAAGACTTCAACAGGAGGTGGCCTCAAGTTCAGTTTGTTTGGTTTTGTTCTTTTATTCTAGGCAAGCTGTGAAAAAAGTACTTGGTCATGCCAAATCTATTCCTTTGTTGCTTTCTTTCTTTCTTTCTCTCTCTCTCTCCCTCCCTCCCCCTTCCTCTCTCTTTTTTCCTTTCTCTCTGTCTCTCTCTCTCTCTCTCTCTTTTCTTTCTTTCCTTTTCTTCTTGGAGGTCTTGCTAAGTTGCCCAAGCTTGAATTCAAATTCCTGGGCTTAAGCGCTCCTCCGCCTCAGCCTAAACCTCAGCCTCCTGGGATTACAGGCACACACCACTGTGCCTAGTTCCAAGTTTAGCTTTGAAAGGGCTTGCCAGGGGAGGAAAGAGAAGGGCTGCATGTCAAGCCAAAGAATGAATTTTTAGAGGCCCAGTGGGGTGAGAAACTGTGTTTAGAAAAGTGGGGACAAGAAGAAGAATACGAAAAAGCCATGGAGTAGTAGGAAATGAGGCTTGAGAGGCAACTGTGGCCACATCAGTAAAGGCCTCAATAATATGTTAAAGGATTTGAACTTAACCTAACCCTGCTGATCGGGTGGGGAGCCACAGAAGAAGGGCAGGAAACAGGCTCAGGTGTGTACTTTGGCATGACCACCTGGCATTGCATTTAGGCCTTGGTGCCTGAGTGGAGAGGCACCTCTTGTCACCACAGCTGCAGATGACCAGGGCAGACTAAACCACACACAGAGATCCTTGTGCCTCCCTGCCCCATTCTCCCAGGATCTCCCTCCTCGAAGAGCCTTACTTAGCCTTTCCAGCCACTTGCAGACTCCACACACCCCCTTTCGTTTTTCCTGTCCATCTTGTCCTCATGTTTACCCAGCCAAGGACTCATAACAAGTGGTTCTTTTTGTCTCCTGCTCAGTAAGGAATGATTTACTCCTATTTGGTAGTTGGTTATTAGGGGTTTATGGGACCCTCAGATGGTGGAATGTACCAGGCATGCCTTTTACCACTACTTGTGGGATGAAAGGCAGTATTTTAGGAATTTCAGACAGTCAGGAGGTGGGAAGCTGCTGCCAAGGGTGGTGAGAGTGCCTCCCCATCTTTGCCTCCGGTCTGTAGCCTACCCCTCCAGCGAGTGTCCTCCCAATCTGTTCTCCCTTCCCTGCTGAAGGCTTTCTTTCCCACTTCGCAAATTTAGCTCCTCATTCTCTCCTTGGACTCCCATTTGCATTGTTTTCTGATGACCAGCTGAGGATTGACTTCCCTTCTCTGACATCCATCCTAGAATGGATGCAAACCTCCTCTGTTGGTTTTGCCTTACTAGATGTTTCTGATGACTAAGGGTGACATTGGAAGTGCATCCTCTTGGTTAATATAAGTAAGATACACATTTTATCATTAAGGGGCTGACTGAGTATTTCTCTGTGTGACTTTGGAAGTAAAATGTCCTGTGAAAATCTCCCCTCTTTTTTATTGCTTAATTGTTTCCTTTTTTCTTTCCCTCTTTTTTTCTTATGGAAGAATTATTATAACAGTAAAGGAAACTAACAAAATTTTTCTCCAAATCCCACAACCATAAGTCATCAGCTGTTTTTACTTTTCCCTGTATTCCCTTCTAGTCCCTGCTTGTATGCAGTGATATTAACTAGATTCAGTTTTGAACTGCATTTCTTTTTTATGCCAAATGATCATAGTTGGAAGAAATGAGATAATAATGCCTTCTTATTTTGATTATTTCCTTTTAGGAAAGACACTGCTGATCCTGGAACATGGAGGATTGTCTTCATACCTCATCTGAGAATCTGTCCAAGTTGGTCAGCTGGGCCCACAGCCATGGGACCATTTGCAGCCTCATTCCAAACCTGAAACACTTGCTTTCAGAAGGTTCCCATGGGAACCTGACAGCAATGTGGGGCTGTAGTGCTGGCCATGCTTATCACTGGCCACTCACAGCTACTTGCAGAGCTGGGTCCCAAGAGAGAGTCTGTTTCCAGGATAACAGAAGTTTCAACTCTGATAGTCCCAGTATAATCGGGGTGCCTTCTGAGACACAGACTAGCCCTGTTGAAAGGTACCCTGGGAGACCAGTGAAAGCAAAGCTAGACTGTAACCGGACCAGAGACTCTTGCGATTTCTCCTATTGCAGTGAGCCCTCTGAACTGGATGAAGCTGTTGAAGAATATGAAGATGAGAACACCCTGTTTGACATGGTTTGTGAGTCCTCTGTTACAGATGAGGATAGTGACTTTGAACCCCAAAACCAAAGGCCTCAAAGCATTAGTCGCAAAAGGCCTGGAATAGTCCCGTCTTCCCTCCATTCAAGCTCCCAGGTGCAGATGGTAGATGAATGCAGCAATGATGTCATTATCAAGAAAATCAAACAAGAGATTCCTGAGGATTATTACATTGTGGCAAATGCAGAGCTGACAGGAGGGGTTGATGGACCAACCCTGTCATTGACACAGATGGCAAAACCCAAGCCTCAGACTCATGCTGGTCCCTCCTGTGTCGGGTCTGCTAAGCTGATTCCCCACGTAACATCTGCCATCAGCACGGAGCTAGACCCACACGGTATGTCTGCATCCCCCTCTGTGATCTCCAGACCAATCGTCCAGAAGACTGCTAGGGTATCTCTGGCTTCGCCAAACAGAGGACCCCCGGGTGCCCATGGCCAGCAGGTGGCCATGCAGATGCCTGTGAGCACATCCCACCCTAACAAACAAATCAGTATCCCTTTGTCTGCCCTGCACCTGCCTGGACAGGATGAGCATGTTGCTTCTGAAGAGTTCCTGTCCCATCTGCCCAGCCAGGTCTCCTCCTGTGAGGTAGCCCTTTCTCCCTCAGTTAACACAGAGCCAGAAGTGAGCTCCAGTCAGCAGCAGGCCCCAGTTGCTCCAACCATAACCACTGAGGCCACAGCACAGTGCATACCAGGTATGGCATGTGAGGCGACAGCAAGTCCCTCTTCCACGTGCATCAAAGAATTCCGCGCCGTCAGCACTTCCCAAACCATTGGCTCAGTTTGCTAGAATTTACTCCTTTGTTAGTCTCAGAAAGATAGAAACAATGAAATATATTACATCCAGGTGATACTATAAAGGAAATTCATCAGCATTGGGGCCATCCATCCAGTTGATGTACCTTAGGGCTGAGAGGACAGCTGTAAGATTGTGCTGTTGATATTGCATGGTTAGATTTAAGGTTGATATCTGACCGTAAGCTGAATTTTTATATAGTAAAGTTATTTCTGAAAGTTTTTAAAAGATGCTTTTTTGTCAATACCAAGGTATTTAGTTGCTGTTTGAAGCCAATATCATGTTGGGTAGGGCATATAATGACAGTAGACCTAACGCTTTTCCATTATTATTTATTTGCCTGAGCCAACTTGGCATTGCTATTCATTTTAGTTGCTGTGGTAGTTGAAATAAGTTTTTTTTAAAAAAGCAATGAACATTTCTCAAAGAAGTATTTGATCTTTTCTCTTAAAATTTCAAAGAATTAGGTAACACGCATTTCTGGAATATATGAGCCTATCTGGAATGATTGAGAGGAGAGTGAAATAATTGTAGAAAGTCCCTGCACCTGTAATTCTCACATTCTAATGTTCTTTAATTCTGACATTCATTCTGGGCTATTATTATATAAGGGAGATTTGGTCCCATGCTTTTGAGTTCATGATTCAAGTCTAATAGGCTAGAAGTAGAAACATTGACAAGGATGAAGAGACTTACAGAGAATATAGAAAGCAGAAATCTGTGACACATTGTGGTTTCTTTCAGTCCTTCTCAAAAAGGTCATGTATTTTGGGAAAAGCTTCCCAGAAGCCTGAGGCACCTGTGCTTTTACCCTGAAACTTCCTAGAATTAAGTTGCTCTACAAACATGTTTTTCCAATTTTAGTGTCAACTTTAGGATCCCCAAAGGAAACCTTCCATTTGTGATTTTTTAAATGATCATGATATGATTCATAAAATATATACTGAAAATATTTATATCCTGATTGAAAATTCTCCTTTTCAGTTTATCCATTTTTCTTTTTTAAGTAACAGCTTTATTGAGATATAATTCACTTATCATAAAATTCGCTCTTTTAAAGTGTACAATTCAGTGAGTTTTGGTATATTCACAGAGTTGTACAGCCATCACCATTATCTAATTGTAGAACATTTTTATCACCCCAGAAAGAAACCCCATACCCATTAGCAGTCACCCTTCCTCGCCCCCTAGTTCCTGGCAACCACTAATCTACTTTCTGTCTCTATGGATTTGCCTATTCTGTACATTTCATATGAATGGAATCATATATTACCTCCCTCTTCACTTAGCATGTTTTCAAGGTTGGTCGATGTTGCAGCGTTTCTTTCCTTTTCATTGCCAAGTAATATTTTATTGTATGAATATACAATATTTTATTTTTCCTTTTATCAGTTGACGGGCATTTGGATTATTTCCATCTTTTGGCTATTATGAATAATGCTGCTGTGGACATTTGTGACAAGTTTTTATGTGGTCATGTATTTTATCTTGCTTGGGTAGCTACCTAGGAGTGGAATTGCTGGGTTCTATGGTAACTCTATGTTTAACTTTTTAAGGAGCTGCCAAACTGTTTTCCAAAGCAGCTCCACCATTTTACATTCTCACTACTAATGTATAAAGGTTCCTTTTTCTCCACATCTTCACCAACACTTATTATTTTCCATGTTTAAAAAAATTGTAGGTATCCTGTTGGGCGCGTGAAGTAGTATCTTGTGCTTTTGATTTGCATTCCCCCCTTAATGACTGATGATATTGAACTTTTTTTCATGTGCTTTTTGGCCATGTGTATATTTTCTTTTGAGAAATATCTATTTAAATACTTTGCCCATTTTTAAATTGAGTTGTCTTTTTTTTGGTAAGTTGTAGGGGTTCCTTACGTATTCCGGATATAAGACCCTTATCAGATATGGTCAGCAAATATTTTCTTCCATGTCATGGGTTGTCTTTTTCTTTCTTTTTAAAAAAAAATTTTAAAAATTTTACTTTAATCGTTGAATAATGACATGGTCTTTGATTAATCTTCACATCACTAGACAAAAGGTTATCTTTATTAGCCTGGTGAAAGTCTTTATTCTAGGAAATCTAACTGTTGATATATGTAGGATATGCGTAGTACCTTTTCACTTAAATAGTTAGGACTCTAGTTTCTTTGCTCCTCCCCCTGCCTTTATTTACTTATTTATTTAGTTATGTTTTTATAAATAGACTTACCCTGAGTTTTCTATATTTTCACTTCATTTATATTCGAGGGTAGAATTCAGAAATGTATTTTGCAAAGTGGTCCAGTGTACCAGTTTGGTAAGACTATTATTTGTGTCACCTACCCTTCCACTAACTTACCCTGCAAAGCAAGATGCAAGACTTCCTTGTATCTGCCTAGTGGATAGTAAATGAGACACTGAGGCTCTTTACCAAACCATATATGTCTTATCATATAATTATTTGGGGAAAGAAATTCAGCCTATTTGAAAGAGAAATAATTTTAATTGATTTACTATTGCGTATATTACATTCTCTAAGGGTTTTTTTATTCCTTCATGGGAATTGCATGTCTTATAATAGCTATAAAAAGCAGGCATGGCCAAGGATAGCACATAATATATACAATCATAAACTGTGATTTGGCTTTACTCTCAGAAGGACTAGTTTGGCTTGGAGTTGAACCTTCAAAAAAAACAGTATGAAGAACTGGTAATAGGGATTTCCTAAGGACTGGTCCTCATGTTTTGATCCATTATTCTGTGGAACGATATCATATTGCTGAGGATGTCATTAGCTTTAGAAAAACACTGTTTGGACTAGAAACAGCAGTGGGACAAATAAAAATCTGATTCACATTTTTCTTTTGTGAGAGGTATATAGAGTTACTGTATAATGTACCTATGTTCTCTAGGACCCAACTAGATTCTGTGTTCTAAAGTTTTATTCATTTGTTTGTGTTTGCGTATTTATTTATAGTAGATAATCATTTTAAACATAGATTTTAAAAAATTTAAACTCTAACATGTGCAAATGTATATGAATGACTTTGTACAGATGGACCTTACACAGTTAATATTTAAAACATACTTGAGACTAAGCAAAGAAGAAAGATTCTGAAAGAACTAGCTGAAAGCTAAATTAGGCTCTTTTGAAATGGATGCTATGTAAGCTCAAGTCTTTATTAGATCATTACAGAAGTACTGCATATCTTTAAATAATATTTTTTAAATAATAATTTGACAAATGACTATTGAGTCTACCAGAAACAAAGAGAAATTGTTCTATTTTTGTTTAGTTTTACTAAGGCCATTTAAATTCTCTTCTTCTAGTGGAAAATCATCCTTATTTCTGTTCAGAACTGAACTCATAAAGTTATAAAATGTTAATCAAGGTATGGATAAAATCATTAATTTTCATGTCAACCCTGCCATAGTGCTCAATCCAAATCTTAGCAAACAATGAGTAAAGAGGACATATATTATTAGAAGAATTATTGATTACCTACCACTAGCTTGAATTCCATTAATTTTTGAGATTTTTATGTAAATTTTTGGCATTTGTCATAATGAAATTTAAATCTTTATTGCATTGATTTGGATTTTTATGTGTATATGTATATTTATTAAATATACTCACATACATACAGCTTTCTTTATGTTTTCGTGCAAGATTCCCTTTTATTAATCAACTCTTTTCCCAGAAGTTTTATAGTAGCAAGAAATATTTGCTTATCAGATTTGTAATATGTATATATTTCTTTTGAAAATACACATTTTTATCTTTATTGCATTGATTTGGATTTTTATGTGTATATGTATATTTATTAAATATACTCACATACATACAGCTTTCTTTATGTTTTCGTGCAAGGTTCCCTTTTATTAATCAACTCTTTTCCCAGAAGTTTTATGGTAGCAAGAAATATTTGCTTATCAGATTTGTAATATGTATATATTTCTTTTGAAAATACACATTTTTATCTTTTCATAATAGATTCGTATGTGTTCTTTTTATATTAGAAATAATAACTCATGGTCTATCACGTGTGTTGGAAATACATTTCCCACTTTACCATTAGCTTTTAATTTTGTTGTTGACATTTTTTGAGATATGGATTTTCTTAATTTTTATGAAGACTGTTCTTTGTCGTCTTTTCTGTCTTTGGTATTTTGCTTTCGAAGTCCTTTCCCTACTTTGAGATCACATAAATATCTATATTTTTCTCTGGTTCTTTTATGGTTTTCTTCTCCTCTCCTCTTCTCTCCCCTTTCTTTTTTAACATTTAACTCTACAGTTAGTTATATATTTTGGGGTGGGATCTCATGTCATTATTTTTGCAGGCAGTCAAATGCCCCAGCATTATTTGTTGAATAATTCCCATTTCCCACTGAATTGATTCATATACCACATATTCCATGTTGTTTATTATTGGTCTGCTTCTTGTTTTAATTGTTTTTATTAATCTCTTTATGTTTTCTGATAATTTTTACTGTTTGATTATATTTTGTGCAAAACAGTGCATTCAGAGAGAAAGAGTAGTGTAGTCTAAATCATTTAATATACTTTTTTGAAAAATTACTCATATAAAATTGAATTCAGTAAGTTTTAAAAAATTGATTAAGGTATATATTACTTCCAGTTGTTTGGTCTCTGTTGACACAATAAACAATGGTTTCTCTTGTCAGAAACAGAAAACCTGAGTTAAACATTAAGGAGAGACTTAATTGCCTTATAGTCCAAGGACAGATCTTCAAACAAGCTTACATCCAGGGTTTAGACAGCGTGTGGTTTCCCCCTTGCCGTTTTTCACCTCGGCTTCTTCCCTATTAGATTCACCTGCAATACTTGATCCCTGTGTGGACCCAAGATGGTTGTGCTGCCAGATTTCACATCTAGCAGTAGACAGAACCTGTGTCC